CCCCTTTGTATTTAGATTTTTACAACATAAATGTTACTCACATTCATGACAAAATAACTCCCTGAAGTGAAAATCTCTACAGATACAAATACGTAGCAGTCTAAGCTTTATTTCACATACATATTCAGTTTTATTTCAATATCTAAATGTTCACTTCTTAATTCACCATTTTCTTCAGTGACTCTAGTGCTGAAATCCTTTTCTGTTCTCCTTTGAAGATATTCCCTCCCCCCCCCCGCTGTGAGGCTAGCTGTTGATAAACAAGCTGAAGACGGACATTTTGCTTTTTTATTTTTGAGATCCATCACCTATTAAAATGTGATAGTTGAATTCTTACCGGTGGGAGTACAGCTAGACAACAGTTCAGTGCCAAAGTACGTTCCTGGATAGAGCTTTTATATTAAAGACTAAAAAAATACAACTTACCTGCAGCCTGGTTAGTGTTATGGATTTCCTCCCCTCCTGTCCCAAATATGATTGATAGGTGTGCTTCTGGTATTGGTTTTTAACTTGCTATAACTAATATACAAAGAGAAGGCAAACAAGGACTTCAGGGCACTTGCTATGCAAAATGGTGAGATTTCAGCTTTCTTCCTCAAGCACTGTAACAACAAGTACGATTGCTGGCTTGCAGTAGGTAGCAGAGATTCACTTCTCCCTCCTATTTGGCAACCTCATTTCTCTATCAGTAAGACCTAAACCACTTGCAGACGATCTTTGTCACCTGCATGTGTGTACTCAAGTGTTTTACTCCACTTGTCAACAAAGAATGTTAACAAACATCTGCTTTATTTTTGGTATTGATCTACAAGATCACTGTAGCAAAGCACACAAAGGCAATGCATGCATGGACAGTATATGTTACTAGCAATCATCCTTGTGAAGGAGTTGACAGAAGTGTATCTTCCTTTTTCTTCTTTTCTTCTTCATAAAGGAAGAAAAGGAAAAGCACTTGGCTTTCATGTGCCTACTGAAGGCAGACTTTGGTAGGCAGAAAACTTGGCACTGTATCTTCATGCTGTTGTTGAAGACAGCTATACCCCTGAAGAAATGGTGGCTTTTTCCTTAATTGTTTCTGATAGCTCTAAAAATTTCCCATGTGAAGCTCTGCTTCAGTCTCACTGTTGCTCCCCGAGTTCAGCAGGCAGCTTTGCTGGCAGCAATCAGCATCAGAAAGCCGAGGTCTGGGCCCACCAAGCAGCACACGCCACAACTCTCCCTCCCGGTGACAGGCCAGAGGATATGTGCACGCACACAGAGTCCTGCATCTGTTTGCATCAGTGACAAAGAGAAATAATGCGTGGTCTTGAAAGGATGCTAGCAGGTGAGGCTATCTTAGGAGCACACCCTCTGCTCTACCAAGCTGCACCAGGCACAGGGAGAGCTGAGGGGCTCAGTGTGCCCAAAGCCACGGGGCGCTTCCAGCTCAGCAGACCTTAAAACTATAGAGGCTTGGTTTTGTGTCCTGTCTTCTGCTCTGACCAGACCTAAAAATGAACTGATATAAGCAGTTAATTCTGATACAGAATGCCTTTTATTGAAAACCAGACTATGCTTGAGCTGTGCTGATATTTTAAATGGCTGCTAAATTATCCAATGGTACTGTCGTTTTCCTTCTCAAAATCTGAACATGGAAAAGAAGAATAGAAAACCGTCCCCTTACTGCCTAGTTCAGTGACTTCTTTCAATTTCAGTTATCTAGGCTGTATTTTCTAAGTGAGACTGATTCCTAATCAGAAGTGTTTCCCACCTCTGACACAGTGCTCTTGAAAAGCTTGAGGAAATCTCTTGCTTTTGTGTTAACTTCAGTTCATTACCCTTCTTTCAACATTTCAATTGTAGAGCTTTACTTAGAATAAGTTAATGTAGCTTTAAAACAATACATACGTGATATTCAGCATCCTTTATAAGATTATTTGAGTCAAAGGAGAAACAGCTGATGAGTGTTGCACATGATGAGTGAATGGCTGAGATACAGTGGCATTTAGCCAGGGGCTCGCTACCACAGAGAGGAGACTGTTATTACAATAGTAGGGATCTCAAATCTGTTTGGATAAGAGAGGTTTCAAATAATCGGTGTCACTGTTAATGTACTTCAGTAGATGTTGGAGGATGTGATTCAGACTTCGGGGGAGAAAAGGGAATTTGGAATAGCTGATGCTCAGATAACTGAGACTGTACCGGAATACAGGATCCTGAGGTTTTCAGCTGCTTCATCCCAGATCATTAATCTTGTCCTCTTTATGCTTGTGTTGCATCCCACAAAACTTCAGAATTTCCAGAAGATCTTGAGTGTGGGTGGCTTTTTCCTTTTTTCTTTTTTTTTTTTTTTCTCTTGTGTATGGTGTGGAGAAGTCTTTTCTTTCCCAAACTGGCAGAAAGGCTTAATATCTGAAGTAGTTACTTTTTAACTTTTAATGAAAGGAATACTGAGTTTTAAACAGTAGGTAATAGTAATACTTTGTGTGTGCTAGGTGTGCTTACTCGTAGTAAATGCGGTATTGGAGATGCTACTGTTTTGAACACGAAGTCCTCTTGTACATTTTGCCTGTTGATGTGCCTCCAAAAAGGGGTGGGGAGGGAGAACTCAGTGCAAGCACGGGAAATGTTTACTGGTAATGTTTACAAAGGAAGCTTTATGGAGATTAAAAATGCTAAGTAAACAGACAGCTTTATTTTGTATCTGCATTCTGTAATAAACTCTCTTTAGAGGGAAAAAGCTTGGAAAATGAGCGTGATATTCTAGAAATACTCATGACATGCTAGCCAGCACAGTTCAGTGTTACAGACTGGCTGTAAATTCAGCCTACAAGGTCTTAGAACCTTAACTGCTACGTTATATTCTGAATCTGCAAAAAAATAAAAACCTAAAAGATCTGAGGGGAGGGGAAGGCGGCAAGGCAGCAGTGATAACATCTTTCCTGTCAGGATTGTTAAATCTTTCCTAAAGCAGTTCCTAAAGCAGTTCGGAGATGGAAGCAGCTCTCTGTCCTTCCTCAGCCTTCCTATTCCACCCCCTTATTGCTACTTAAGGAAAAAGTTACGTGACGGTTTTCAGGAATTCTCTCTCATCTGGAGAGGAATTAAAAATATGCTCATATCTCTGTATTGTACTGGTAAACCTGTAAATCCATGACAGAAGAGCAGAGAATACCTACACCAATAATTTACCAAAGTATCTGTTATGTGTCTAACTACAGTGAAAAATCGGATATAGCTAGCACCCTTTTAGAGCCATGCTACTTTTTTTTTTTTAATAGAATTTTTACAAGTATTTAATTTAGAGCTGTTAAGATATCAAGTGCTGCCTTACAAATATTGCAGCATTATTTTTATCTTGCTTTTCAGTGTAGATACAAAAAAACATTAACTGTAATTCCCAGCTGTCATGCTGGTTCTTTTTTTTTTTTTTTTTTTTTTTAAATACAAATGGTTGCCTGCAAAAACAGGCCTTGTTTGCTTCTACTGAATAGTAATTTCTGGACTTCACCTTGGCAACGAATGTTAGGGAGATATCTTTTAAGCCACTGGATTTGAGGTTAGGACATTCATTTCAGTGTCAGCTGACAGCCTAGGCTGGATCATAAATGAAAAGCAGGGGTGTTCGATTGCACTGTATAACAATAAAGCAGGAAACACTAATTACCAGACTACCGGCAACTGAAAGTAGAATTTACAGTAATGCTAACCAAGCAGATCCAACTGATACAACACTGCAAATACCCATGCTTTCTTAAATGAAATAGAGGGGGGTTGATTTTTAGAAACCTACTGTGCACCAAGGCATAGAAGAGGCACAATCAGGCACAACAGTGCAAACAGTTTTAGCTATCTACTCTCTTCAGTTCCTCCTCTGAAAGTATTTATGACTGTTCTGACCTGCAACTTCACTGCATGGACTAGAATACTTCCTATGTCTAATCTTTATTAAAATAAAAGAAAAAAAGTGTGTGCGTATATATATTAAAACAAGTCATTACACAGTTAGTAGTATCTGCTGCATACTGAAAGGGCAACTTCATCTACAAATACTATCTCTCCCTTTATGAATGAAATTTGTACAAAATCTCTTGAAAATTGAACAGTTAAGTCTAAATTTAGTACTTGAACCCTGTTCTGGAAGACCACAGTGCTGCACAGTCATGAATATCTGATCTGTGTTTTTGGAAAAACTCAGATGAAATCCTCTGGGTGGAATAGTGACGAGAATATAGTAATGCTGGAGTAGCGTCTGTGCTACCATTAATGAAGCATCAATTCACGGCAGTCTTGTGTAGCATGTATAATATCTTAATTGATGAAGTGCTTGATGAAGCTTGTTTGAAACAGCCAACATCACTTCCAGAGACCCCCTACTTTCTCCATTTTTGTCTGTTGTTATTCTTTCCTCAAGTCCCTCTCTGATTAGATAGTAAATTTTAAACATCTCATTTAGCTTTATTCTTCAGGTATGAGCAAAGATAGCAAAAGGCATGTGTAAAACTGCTATGGACAAATAGATCTTTAGATACGTGCATGGTTAAAGCCTATCAGTGGCATAGCTAGATGTGGGATTGCTTATTTTTGTTACATGCGTATATGTCTGACTCGCTAACTGTAATATAGAGCATGCTAAACTCTTCCTGGAGTGGGGATGTAGAAAAAATAATAGAAGCTATTAAATGAGAAATTTTGCGCTGTGCAGGATAGTCACTTGAGTTTAAACAAGCGTGTCAGCAGAGGCTCATCTTTGTGTAGCACGTGACACTTTCTCTTCGTTATCCATTACCATTGCAGCGTGAAACAGTAACACAGATGAAAAATGATGTCTGCAGCTATTGCAGGGGAAGCTACTGGTTTGCCTGTCCTTCACAGAGCTGCTTTCTGCAAGATGAACCAAAGTAATTCCTATTAACTTTAACAATACTGGTCATAAGAGTATCGTTACGCTATAAGGAAGTATGGTGACAATAAAGCAAGTCACATCCAAGTTGCAGGAAGATCTAAATTCAAACAGTTGTATCTATCATTTATTGGGGCAATGTGCACGCAGCCTTGGCGGGGGCCAACGACAGGAGTATCAAAGAACAGAATGAGCCAAGGAGCTTCTTCAAAGACTTTATGTGGTACTCGCTCGTGCTCTGACACTGTGACCAGTCCTAGTGGTCTTCTAACTTTTAACTGTCAGGTCTAAAACAAAAATATAACTCAGTCTTGTTTAAAAATAGGTTTTATTGAAAGGTCTTGCTTTCTGCTGTAGAACTTGTTCTGTCCCACAAGAGACACTCCCCAGTGCAATGCTCTGACAAATAAGCTCCGCTGAAACGATCTTTGTTCATCCCGTGTAAGCTGTCCTTCTTTCACACAGCTTTATTAAGTGAATGGAAGACTGAGCTTGCTGAAACTATAATTAAAAAGTAATGTCCTAGGGAATGGATATCTTAAACACGACATTCAACAGCCAGCTTGTAATTACTTTCCTGAAATTCAGATTCATTTCAGGAAACTAGATGCAGATTAACTGGTGTATGTTCTATTCCTAGTGCTGATAAACATCTAATACATACTCCAATGATCAAAGCTCTTGCTTACATCGCTGCTGGTGATGTCCCTTTCTTTGACTGAAAGGAAAGACTTTACCTATGTCCAGACTAACAGCAAATACTTTACTGCTCTGCCCTGAGAGCAGTACTGCATTCAATTGTAGAAAATATTCATGAAGAAAACATTATTGCTTATCCTTGATATAATACCTTACATTTTTATCTAACATTGGCTATTTTATGTTTCTAATTTGCATAATACATTGTAAAGCAAAGGAAAATGGTGACTTTTTAAAGCTTCAATGTTTTTGAAATGTGTGACCGAATAGTAGTCTGCCAGGCTTTAACAAAGTACAGCACTGAAGTGGCAGAAGTGACGTGAGAGCGCTGTCCTTGCAGTCCTTGTGCATTTGTGCTCGTTCCCAGTTGGTGAGAGCAGAAGTTCCTTTAAAGCAGAGAGGAAAGCTGTGTCAGGTCAGCAGCTTGTATCTGCACGCTGCTGTGACGCCCTATCCCCCTAAGCTGACTGCTGGTTTCAGATGCGATCAATACAGGGAAAGACAGCATACACAGATGATTTGAGGGGGAATTTGAGGGGGAAGTGCCGTGCAGATAATGTGTTTGCGCTACCATTACGGTATCTAGCACAGGTCTGTAGCCTTCACTTCCGTCGTGAAGATGGAGGACATGCAGTCTTTAAAGAGAGATGTTGATGGTACAAGGTGTTTCTGCTATTTGCAAAGGACTTAAGTGTGGGGCAAACAGCTGTTAACTGGGTTGTGCCAGCTGGTGCTGAACCAAGCAGAGCTCGGTGTGCCCCTGCGGCTGGCTGCCTCAGGCACTCCTCCACGTAAGCGACCTATTTCTCTATTGTCCCAAGAAAAAAAGGTTGCTTCGTGGATGCAGTCTGTGATACCATGATGGCTAAGGCATGCTGTTAAGCTTACTTGGGGCTGAAAGAAGGAAAAGATGGTCTCACAGGACTAAGCTAGGTTCGTTTATGCGCTGTGGCCCCTTGCACAGATGCAAGAGTATCTTTGGCTTTATAAACATGATTTGTAAACATCTCTGAATTGGTCTGTGTGCTGTTTGCATAGGTCAGTCTTTTGTTTCAAGGCACTACCCGGCTGTCATTGTTATGACAGTGTTCTTGCACTAAAAACAGGTGTGTATAGATCTGTGTGAGAACCACCTCAGAAGTTACCTTTGTGATTTTGACTTACTGTCCAAGAAATTTGTTTGTCCCCTGAAATCATTCATGGTTTGTAACACGCTACAGAGCGGCATAACCTTATTAAAATGGCTAGTGTGAAAGTTAAAAGCTATCTGCTTTATTGGCTGAAAGTAGATCAGCCTGTTTAGATTTCTTCTGGCATAACATAGAAATAATCTCTTAAGCTGTTTTTATCAAGCGTCAGTTCTCTTCCCATATCATTACTTTATTGCAGCCCAACTGGCGCTCCTCGTTTATTTTCCCTTCCTTCTTTTAAATAAAATTAACCAGCTTTTATTGTATATGCACTATGTGTTTTCCCTTAGAAGACAACCAGGTCAAAAGTGAAACAACTCTGAATATTTAATGCTTGTCAACTATTGCATATCTTGATAAAATAATCTGATAACTAAAACTCATTTTAAATTTGGCTTCCAGGCTAGGACTAAATGAAGGAATTTTTGGATGCCTTCTCTTCTCTTTTGAATCTTTGCCAGTTTTGATGATGGTATTTCAATAAAGTAATATTTATTTTCTTTGAAAAAAAACAACACATATTTATTCCTTATTTTTCTTTAAATCCATAAGATATTGTTTTCCTCTTTTGGACATGGAGAAGAAGAGGTAATACATGACAGAGGCTTGGAGTGAAATTTATACAACACAAACTTGTTTGCCTCAATGTTAATATTTAAGGGAAAGAATGAGACACAGCAAAACGCGAGAAGCTAAACAGAAGGAATCTAGTCAGTGAGCTCTAAGTCTTTGGAGTAGATTGTCAGGATACTTTTTTGCGTTTCACTGCTGGGAGCAGGAAGAATGCAATTTTCCTTCAGAACAACGACAGTTTGGCTGTACCCACCTACTACAAACAAAAGATAAGAGCTAGTCAATAATAAAACGATAGTTGACTTCGGCTCCACTGCTTTTGGAGAGAACTAGCAGTTACTTGAGATAATCTTTTCAAGGAAAAGTCAGTCTGGTTGATAACAAAACTTCTTTGAACAGCGTTTAAGCCGGGAACTCCTTTCTGTACTCTGTATGGTTACAAATGCAGTCTCTTGCTGAAGGCTTTGGTCAAAGTCAGCCTGCGATCCTTCATTTCTGAGCTCTCCTAAGCAGTTCTAGCTGCTTTAACTTTACACACTGCTGTCATGTCTAACCCAAGTTTTCGCTTACTAAGACTGATTATAAACTGCTGAAATGTAAATTTCCTTAACTCAAGTTGATGCCTGAGCCAATAAGCAGTAAGGAAAACAGCTTCAAATACAAGGAAGTGGGGTATTGTCCCACTCTCTTATGGGCTCACACCCAAACTGATCATCCAGATTAAAAACCAGTTTGCATTCACTGCTTCGACTCAGTTTGGTCAATCTGGGAAATTTCGTGAAGCACACGCTTCTCGGCGAATGCAGGCAGAGATTCTTTTGGCCTTGCTCCCAAAGGTTGGGAGGGAAGTAAAGGGGAAAAAGTCTTCCCAAGACCTTGAAGATGAAACTCTTCCACATCGGAAGACCTGGAGCAGCTCGGTTTTTCAGAGCAGTCTCTTGAAAAGAAATCAACTGCTACTTTCAGAGCACTTACATGTGGGGTTACAAGTCTAAACAGGCAAGTGATTTCCTTCAGCAGCAGCGGTTACTACGCAGGTGATAGATGGAAGAACATTCTTGGGACTCTCTGGTGTTCAGAGCCAAACTCGTAAAGTTTATGAACCCGTAGTTTGAAAGCACACCAAACCCCTAAATCCAGCCCTGGGCAGGGCCAGAAGGGGCAACAGAGCAGCCAGAGATGCTTTCACAAAGGTATAAATCCACAGCAGGGTGAAGGATGGGATATGTTCTGCTTTGCTCTGAACAGAAGCAGCACGTGAACTCCGTGCTGTCGGAGCCTTGCCTGTGTTTATGTGCTGGGCGGCCTGGGAGGTGGCCGTGCTGCCGGGCCAGCAAGCGATTCAGGCACGGATGCGGTGCATGAATGGGAGCATTCATTGCCTTTCTCTTCTCCTGCTTCTCTGAGCCTCAGGGTGTGATCCTGTGCTGCTGCCCCTAGCCAGGCGCGGAGGAAGAGGCTGCCTCTGTCCTCCTTCCCCTCTACTCCAGTTTCCTTGTAAAACTAAAAGCAAGGTTCAGCTCAGAGAGCACGGATCTAAAATAACGTGCCATTAGCCATAATAAAGTCCAGCCTATCTCCAATTTACTGAACTATCTGCAACTATGTAGAAAGTCCTGATAAGATAGTCCTCACACCAGTTGGAGGGAGGAAAAAAAAAAAAAAAGAAGATGTTAAGCAGATCAGAACTGCTTTACTCAGGCCATTTTCAAGGACCCGAGTATATTTTGTACAGATCCCTTCTCACGTATTCTTAACCTATTAGCTGCTCTTTAATGTCAGGCGCAATCTGGGGTAAAAACCACAAAAAGTGTCTGTTCCAAACTCACATGTGACCACATCAAGGGACTCTAATTGTGTCTCTCCCACAGCTCAGGATTATTAAGCCTGTTGGACAGGTTATAACGGCTGGTTTCCCCACAGGGCCTCGCAGCAGCATGACAGTCATTTTCTACCTAATGTTTCACAAAAAGCAAAATATTCTTCTAACTCCTGTTTCCTAACAGCAGGACCCACGGTTTGTGTTCAGCTGAATGCCATCCCCCGTTCCCTACCCGAAAAACTGCTGCAGCTTTTTTGACATCTGACGCTGAGGAAAAGGCTTTAGAATGCGAGTCTCCTTCCGTGGCAGCACGAGGAGCTGCTGTTGGCTTCACCACAATGTCTGTAAAGTATTTCTACTTTTCTTTGAGCTTTTTTCTTTGTATATGTTTCTGTAGCCAGACACATAGCTCTGTGTGCGCGCAGATGACAGATGTGTTTATATTGCTTCGGAGGTGGAACAGTGTGTAGAGTTACATTTTGCCAGATGAATGTGAAATATTAAAGTAGGCTTCACATACTTAGCTCCAACAAAATAGATTTCAAAAGTGGTTCCTATGTTTCCATACTGTTTCCCACGACAAAATCTTAAGTGTGTATCATAATGCTGAAAGTAAGGTGCTCAAAATGAGAAGGTAGGATATACTGAAACTCAGTCCCTGTATTGGGAAAAGAGAAGGGAATCTCTGTTCCTTCCCCTACAACACATAGTAAGGCTTTTTTTCCCCCCTCTATATATTAAAGCGTGAACCAGTTCAATTCTTCCGACTGACAGTTTGCTCTCTGTGATGTAACCCTGATGAGGGTAAGCATGTGAGCTTTGAAGGAAGTACTACTTGTGTCTATAAATACTGTGCCTGTGCATGACACTTGTCACCTTTTTATTTATCTTAAGAACTGAACAAAAAATTTCAAAACATGTACTACAGACTATAAGGACGGCGTTGACAAGCCCAGAGGAAAAATGATACTGCTTTAATGCTTTGGGGGGTTTGGAAGACTGCAGAGTACAAACTGTCATGAAGCCAACTTAATATAACTGTTTCTTTTATACTCTAAGGATTCACAAGGGACTTCACTGCTAGCATACAGGAAATAAAGTCTGTTGTGCTAGAACAAGACTTTGTTTCTTACAATTTAGAAAACTACACAAAGTTTCCTTACAGGAAATGTTACAATTCATACAAATTCCCATATTTATTTGTGGACAAAAATTGCTATTCACATAGCAGGAAAACTAGATGAAAACAGATGGCATAGACTTAAGGCCATTATGGGTATTGGTGAACAGACCTATATGATGCCAATAAATACAACTACACAAAAATGTACTTTAATGTAGAGAGATCTTTATTATTGTCTGCTTTTCCAGTAATGGTCGATTCTTTTTCTAACAGGAATCCTTGAAAATAAATTGTTACATGAATGAATTTCTTCAGTGAGGAATTTTCAGAGTTTATTTTAGGTGAAGCCTGTCTTCTCTTGTTACACTATTCGACCAAGATAGACTGACTTGGGATATTTTTCCTTTAGAGCAGGCCACTGAACAATGAAGTAATCTGAAAAGTAGTAAAGAATCTTTCCAGACAGGGATAAAGTTTCCACGCGGCAGATGCTTTCTACATACACAATGATTGCTCTTTTTATTCCTAGAAGCCCAAGAAGAAGAGCAGATATACAGACAGGAACACATGTTCCTGGGCCATTGCACAGTATCTAAAAGAGAAACATTTGATAGAAGTAAACCGTGAGTTTTTTTCATATAGTAAAGAATTAAAAATGCACATATTCTAGTAACATTA